TCTTTCTTTCTTTCTTTCTTTCTTTCTTTCTTTCTTTCTTTCTTTCTTTCTTTCTTTCTTTCTTTCTTTCTTTCTTTCTTTCTTTCTTTGAAAACATTTCATTCATCCAAGAAGCTTCTTCAAGATGCTCCAGGCATTCAGTGCAACCCCTGGGCCATAAAAATATTCCCCTCACACCTTAGCACATAAAAAATCTAAAACAACCTAAATTAAGCTAGACTACTGATGATTTTTTGGGGCATCTCCTGGTTTTTGTGAAAAACATGGTTTGGTTTGGTGTTTCCTTACTGCAGAATGTTTTTCAGTTTTCATTCCAGCCTGAAGATTTCTTAGTTTTGCAGCCTGTGAGGAAATGGATTGTTCCCTGTGCTTTCGAAAAGCAATAGCAATTGCAATAGCACTTTGACTTATATATCGCTTCATAGTGCTTTACAGCACTCTTTTTTTAAATAAAAGTTTTTTTTTGTTTTTTACACATCTCTTCACGTGAGCAATGTGATTCCAGATTACAACATTTGTACATAATTATACTTACATTTTCAACTTTCTTATTTAATATCACATCAAATTATTATCCACTCCACTAATCTTCAAACAAATTTCCATTTCATATTTTAATGCATTAATTCAATATCAAAATCATTTCCTCACATATATTTTCAATTCTTTATCCCCTATTATTTCCATTGTCAGCTTACTGCTTTACAGCAATCTTTAAGTGATTTATAATGTCAGTATATTGTGACACTATATCCTCATTTTACCAATCTTGGAAGGATGGAAGGCTGAGTCAACCTTGAGCCGATGAACTGAATTGAACTGCTGTAGCCTGCAGTACTGCATCCTAACCACTGTGCACCACCGCAGCTCTGCAATCACCTGCAGCCAGGCAGAAATGTGTCTCTGCACTTCCTTCCTGCACTCAGACAAGCACTCATACATTTACTCACAAGCATCCAAGTCCTTGTTGCAGATAACTGTGCTACCTGAGCCACACCCTGGTGCTCTCAAGGACATGCTGATGTCCAGAGGCAACTTCATCCCACCCAGTCTTTCGTGCTTACAAAAAGCCAAAGCTGAGACAGAATGAGGAAAGGGTGTGTAGCACAAAACATGAATGTAAATCACCTACAGACACAGAAGCGGAGGTGATGGGTGCAGGTTGGCAGCTATTACAATTTTGCATGAGGTCTTTCATTCAACTGCCATGTCTGCAAGCTACGGTGATGGTAGAATGTCCTGGTAGAAGCTTTGCTGGAAGCTCAGTAGCAATTACAAAAAGGAACAAGCGTGCTAAAGCCATACCTCATCCCAATTAGCACAAGAACATTTGGAGAAAGGGTGTGTGCTACTTTAAAGACTTTGAGATTTTCGTTTAAACTGGGTATAAAAGACTGGATATTAAAGGTATTTTTTTCATTGGCAACGTCCTAGAAGGCCGGGGGTGATCCACAGCAATAACCTGTAGTTAGGGAAGGTGTGTGTTGTAATTAAAGTATGGTGTTTAGAATTGTTATGCTGGGTTGAGTAGAGCAAAAAGCCCCAACCCAACCATTCTATTTTGAACCATTCTGTTATGAATCAGATTAATCTCCTGGTGATTTAACAGAATAACAGAGTTGGAAGGGACCTTTGAGATCTTCTAGTCCAATCCCCTGCTTAAACAGGAGACCATATATCATTCTGAACAAATCTCTGCACCTCTAGTGATGATCACCCATAACTTCTGGAGGCAAAAGCCATTCCGCTGGTTAATTGTTCTGACTGACAGGAAAATTCTCTTTCATTCTAGATTGGATCCCTCTTTAATAAACTTCCTTCCATTACTTCTCCTCCTGCCCTTCAGGTGCAATTTCTTCTTTTCTGTGACAACCCCTGTGACTGCTATCCTGTCATCTCTGGCCCTTCTTTTTGTTAGGCTAGACTTACATACAGTTCCTGCGATTGTTCATTTTAGCCTTCAATCCCCGAATCGCTTTTTGATCCGTGCTTCTTTGCAGTCTTTTTAGAGTCTCAACATCTTTGCGATCAAAACTGGATGCAGTATTCCAAGTGCAGTATAAAGCTTCATGGAACTATCCATGTTCTTTTCATGGTATGTGGACTCTCACCAGGGGTGGGATTCTACCGGTTCTGTCCGGCTCTGTAGAACCGGTAGCTCTGAAGAGCAGCAGACATAGAACTGGTTCTATGTCTGCTGCTATTTTGGCCCACCTGCCCGGCTGGGCTCTTACCTGATCTTTATTTCCTGCTTTTTCAACCTCAGCTGCTTTGCGTGGCACAGCTACGGTTGAAAAAGCAGGAAAATAGTGCTTTTCAAACGCTGCACACCCCTGCGCACTGCTGCTCAGCTGTTTAGACAGCAATAGCTGACAATGTTCCACACGTGCGCTCAGCACACAGCAAATCACAAATCGCAAAATCACCGATTTTACACCGGTCAGATCCCGCCCCTGACTCTCACTGAAGTATGAACGAAGGATGGAAATTAACCAAGAAGAGAAACAATGAAAATTTCTGATGATGAGAGCAATCAACCAGTGAAACGGCTTGTCTCCATCATTAGAGGCTTTCAAAAAGAGACCAGATAAACATTTGTCTGAAATGGTATAGGGTCTCCTGCTCCAGCAAGGGGTTGGACTACTAAAAAACTTCCGACATCCCTTCCAAGTCTATTATTCTATGTACTAAATCAGGGGTGTCAAACTCATATCCTCACGGTGGCATCACGTGACATATTGGGACCTTTCCTCCCTTCGCTAAACTGGGTGTGGGCATAGCCAGCACATGACACATCGTACCTATGGGCCAGGAGTTTAGCAGCCCTGCTCTAAATAACCACTCCTAATCTTCCTTAATTTTTGGAGAGTCAGGCCTTCCTATATATTGGCACCTAGCCCAGCTAGTACATACAACCCATTTTTGTTAATCGAGGTGCTACAGGGAACAGAAGGCCAACAGTGCTGTGTAATAAGCTGGAAAGAAATAACTCAACTTCTTTCAGGATGAAAAAGCAACCTTACCTGTGGTATGCCATATTTGTCAATGATCTGCCAAATGTACCAATCTTCTCGCCTGGATGACTTGCGGAATTTGAAAGTAGCAACAAAGGCATACTCATCCGGAAGTCCTTGTGGAAAGACATCTCTGGAGGAAGGAGATGTGGAGAGAGAGGAAGTTATGAAAAGTATTTAGGTTATACACATGTGGGCGACCATTCGTCAAAATCATAATGTGGGAGATAAACTCTTTGTTCCCTGCAGTATATAATGGTTATTAATCAAACTGGCCATGGATATGGAGGAAGCACTAACTCTTGTAGAGAGAAAGAAGGAAGGTGATAAATATCTGCAATTGATGTTTTAATGAGTGTGTATGAAAAGTTTTGCTTCCCCCCAAATAAGAAAGTAAAGAAAAAATAGCTTGGAAGTTAAACTGCTTCTAATTTGACAACCCCTTTGTCAGGCCAAAGAGAAACAGGGATGACTAGTGTATTAAATATTTGAAGAATTGGTCTCTTTTCCAAATGTCTTCCATTCATTTCTCTACTGTAAAAAAAATCTTATAGTAAACAAAGTTGTGATGGATTGACTATGTGCCAACAAGTTGATGTCAAGGCTTAACATAATAAAATAGGTATCTTGTGAAAATTTAGAGAATTGCAATTCTGTACTGTATATTAAATCTTATTGGCGTATTATAAACCTGAATGATTTCAATTCACCAGTCCCACTGTCAGGGTTCCAAGTAATACGTCCATAGCAAACTAAACTCCGAGGCAGGTAGATTCCTCAAATAATAATTTTATTGGAAATATCATATTGGCTATTGGCATATTGAAAACTGACTCTGAAAGTTCCTGCGGTTTTCACCTAATTAAAAGTCAACATTTCCTCCCTTTACCAAACAATCAGTCACATGGTCCAATCAAGGTGCCATCTGGTTGCCTGGTAACATCACTCCTCCTCTCTCTGGCCACCTGTGGGAATGTCCTTGGTTCCCAGGAGAAAGTATTTTGTTTTGGCTACAAAACCCCAGCTATTTGTATTCCCACCTCCCTATCCCTCAGCTCCTGTGTGGCAAAACGGAAGCTTCAAAATGGCTTTGGCATTTAACACCCACCCTGAATTTAAAAGGACCATATCAGGAAATGAAACAATTGAAGAAACGGTTCAAAGGAAGAGGGGGAACGTACTGTGTACGCTGAACAATGGGAAAGCTTCCAAGACGAACATAAGAGCTCTGGATTCCATCGTCTTTCCTTCGGAACATCTCCCGTACACTGAATAATTCCATCAAGTCAAACCCTGCCAGAGCAACAGCAACAAAAGAAAACATGAAAGACAATAACATTTAGCTGCTGATAGGAATTTATCATTTATTAATATCTATAAATAATAATTAAACATTCTATTCTATTCTATTCTATTCTATTCTATTCTATTCTATTCTATTCTATTCTATTCTATTCTACTCTACTCTACTCTACTCTACTCTACTCTACTCTACTCTATTGTATCTAACAGTGCAGTGTGCATATGTCCTTAGAAAGTGAAGGGACATTCACTGTATGGCAAACGAGGCAAACGTTTCAGTACCAGAGTCAGGAATGCTTAATCTAAGATAAGATGTGGGATGTAACATGTCGAACAAGACCCAACCATTTTGCATAACCTTGGCTACCACCCATAACATGCTTAATTGGTTTGGGCCTAAGCACATTATGCAAACAAAGCACTTGGTTATCCAGATTTAAGATTTGGAGGTTGCATAAACTCAGGCACCACCTTTACAGAAACACACACATGAAAAAGCACACAAAGGGTTTCAATTCAAAACCTTCTATTAGAGTTTTCACTCTCTTCAAAAACTGATATCATTTGGCATGGTAGAAGGTGCACTATGATCCTTTGCCAAGACTGTAATTTTGGAGATATTACAGGTTGCAAATAATTACTCGGTAGATAACTTTCTTTTTTTCCTGGAATGTTTTTTTTCCTCTGAGCTTTTTTTCCATTCAGAGGTAGTAATAAGACATATATTCTTGTTCAGTGCCCATAGGCTTCACCCAGTGGCAGAATTCAATTTTTTTTACTACCGGTTCTGTGAGCGTGGCTTGGTGGGCATGGCAGGGGAAGGATATTGTAAAATCTCCAGTCAGAGGTTGTATTTGCCAGTTCTCCAAACTACACAAAATTTCTACTACTGGTTCTCCAGAACTGGTCAGAACCTGCTGAATACCACCTCTGGCTTCACCCCATGAAAGACCCTAAAAACAACTATAATGGGATCATTTTTTGATAGATTGCCACTGTTGCAAACGTTCGTGTGAACTGCATCCATAATTAACTGGTGCTTGAGAGAACCTTACTGGCTCAAACATGCAAAAGTATGACTGAGCTACAGAAATTCTGCATTAATAGGAGAGATACTTAAGTCTTATTTCCCATTTAGGAACACATTTAGCTTTTTCTGAAATTTTTCATCCGACCTTCCTGGGAGAGGAAATCCTTACTGATTTTGGCTTCTGTTCATTTTAAAAGTTCATATTTCTATATTGCACAAGAGAATAATTTATTGCAAATATTAATAGGGCCAGGTTTTATCCTCTGCATTATATCAAATGCATGTTTTGTCACTGGTGGCCAAATGGGTCTACCATATTTCCTCCCCAAGCGTTATTTCTGGAATACATAATGATGTATATACAGTAAGAGCTTTACTAGATGGGAAAATATAGTGTATGGAAATAGCACTGCTTTTTCAACCTTGTAAAAATTCCTTCCCTACTAAAAGAGACATAGGTACAAAACAAAATAAACAGAGAGAGAGAGAGAGAGAGAGAGAGAGAGAGAGAGACCCAACTGTCCTTAAACTTTCCTTGAAGTGCTTCAATGCAGAAACAAAAATCCCTTTTGTGAGTCCCCTTATTATTCATTATGATTTTGAAGATGATGATGTTATCCATTCAGATGTGCCCAAATCTCTTGACGTTCCCACAGGCCAAATCTTTCCACATCTTCCTATCTTGCGCTACTTCTTTGAGTTGTTCTATGCTCTGGCTGGTATCAGCTTTGATAGTGTCCGGTCACCATGTTCTTTGATGACGTGGTTTCCTTTTAACACTATCTCTCACAAACAAACTTCTCCAAACAAAACAAAAGCTTTGTTTCAATGCTACCTATTTCTGAAGCTGCTGCTAAGCAGACAAGCGGATCCAAACTATTCCTTAATAATATTCTGCTCCTTGACCAGTAAAGACAGCCTAGCACTCTTAAATAATTCTATCTTTTCCATTTGCAAAATAAGGTACTGTCCTAGCCAGTATTAAATGCCACTTTCAGGATTAATTCAGTCTCTCTATACAACATATCTCTGCTTTACAATGTGACAAGAAGAAGAATTGATTGTCCCTGATATTGCATTACCTGGTATGTCATCCATTGCTCCATTGCCGTGTCTGAACCTGTCTCCTTCTACGCGGACATTTGGACACAGGACATCTGCAAAGAGAGGGAAGAGAAAGGAAAGGACATTTAAACTAGAGTTATTGCTAAGATCTCCATTGATTTTTTTTCCTTTTGTTTTTTATCACCTCTTGGCAAAATGGAAATAATATTTAGTACTTTTCTACCCTTTTGATAGTACGCTGGAAACACTACGAGCCCTGGGTATCTCCATTGCCAACAAAAACACTACAAAGAAAGTTGTATAAACTGGCAGAAAGAACTGGCATCATAAACAGAATCGACTGCCCAGATTGCAACCGACACCACACAGGGTAAATAAGGCCCCAATTACAGTAAAATAACAATGAACACAAAACTGCAAAAAACCAAAACCAGAACATCTTAGTGACAGGCTATTTCTGCTGACTGCCGGCTACCTGCAAATCCACCAGGCTCAAGGTTGACTCAGCCTTCCATCCTTCTGAGGTGGGTAAAATGAGAACCCAGATTGCTGGGGGCAAGCTGCTGAACTCTGTAAACTGCTTAGAGAGGGCTGTAAAGCACTGTAAAAGTGGTATATAAGTCTAAGTGCTATTGCTATCTCATGGCTACCTATGCCCTCAAAATCACTCACACATTTGACTGGAATAATGGAGAAAGAATCAACCAAGCAAACATCAGAAGAGTCAGGAATTTCTGAAAGTCTGGCACTCAAATCAAGGAGCCATCAGAAGGAGAAAAAAAACATTGGATAGGATTTACAGACTATCAGATACAAGATCCAAACCATTCACATCAGATTGACAAGGCAGGCCAAACAGAACAGAATTAACCCGAATCAACAGTACAGAATTCAAGCCCACATAGATTATAAATATAGCAAGGCAAGTCCCATTTCTGGAAAATTGTACTGATGAAGCTGTATTGGAATGCACAGGACAGAATTTGTAATCTATGCTCTGGTGCAGACCTTCCCAAGCCTAGAGACCCTCAAGCAGAGGTGGTATTCAGCAGGTTCTGACCAGTTCTGGAGAACCGGTAGCGGAAATTTTGAGTAGTTCAGAGAACCGGCAAATACCACCTCTGACTGGACATTTTACAGTATCTTTCCCCTGCCACGCCCACCAAGCCACATCCACAGAACCGGTGGTAAAAAATTTGAATCTTACCACTGCCCTCAAGGAAAGAGCGGTCTACCACTATTCCAAGAGATGGATACATCACTTATGGAACAGACTACTTTTATTCTCTTCACCATCTATTCTTTAGAAAAGAACCTTTACCTAACTTAGCAATTATCCAGATGCTAAAATGTCTTTCCACACCAAGGCAGATTCACGAAGAAGCCATGACTGACTAAGGCAAAGAGTTGCATGGGACAGCTGATAAATCCCTTCTACCACTAGAAAAGTTCACGTCAACAAGTTAGCATGTTTCAACCAGTCACAGAGGATGGATGAATCTAATTTTATGATGCAGAACCGGATGATCTTCCTCAACTGTTGAGAATAAACCAGTGTATTAGCTATAGTGAAGATAATTGCCACCAAGGAGGAGGTACTTATTATAATACTTGTTGGAAGTTATATGATGTTCAGCCACTTTTCTTTCCACAACAAGGATTTTCTTTCTTTGTTAATTTATATAATACTTTAAAGAATTAGAAGAAATAAGTGTCTCCATGTTTCTAGCCCAGGATGAAGCAGGTTAGATAATGATCAAATCTAAAAAAAAAAAAAATACTTCTTGGTTATGGAAGAAATTTATTTTGGCCTTCCATCTATCCTGCTGGTCTGCAGACATAAATATGGAATGATTGAAATTGCATTGTTTGGTCAACTTGGAAAAGAAAACCCGAGTTTTCCTAACAAACGAAGCAAGCTGGGTCTGAAATTTACTAACAGTGAGAACAATTAACCAGTGGAATGGCTTGTCTTCAGAGGTTGTGGGTGTTCCATCACAGGAGGCTTTTAAGAAGAGATTGGACAGTCCCTTATCTGAAATGGGATAGGATCTCCTGCTTGAGTAGAAAGTTGGATTAGAAGACCTCCAAGGTCCTTTCCAATTTAGTTATTTTGTTATTCTGAAGAAAGCAAGCCAACAACTGAAGATAGCTAGCTAAATAAGTGCTAAGCTGTGCATATCAATATATAGCACTTGAACAAATTAGGGTCGCATAGTTCATAGCAGTTCACACGCTATTTTCATCTATGACATGCACCATTTAACTCATTAATCTCATTCTAGGGATGTTTGCCCTCTGACATATACCGTTGCCCTTTGAGGGAAGGTCTTGACTATTTGCTGCCTGCTGAAAGGCAATAATCCTGCCCTAACTTATGCAATCATGAAACTGGACATTATATTGTTTGCAAAATGAACCCAAGAGGCTACAACAGCTGACTAAGAAGCAGAAGAAATAATACACATACCTTAACAAAAACCAAAACTGATTTACCAAGATCAGGCATGTAATTTTGGACCTGACTTTAATAAATACAGTATGTATCATCAAAGCATATGTTTGTTCAACCAATGCAAGATACTGCACATTTAACAATTATGACCAGATTATGGTACACCACTGGTATGAATAAACAGTTATATAAATACATGCAGGGGAGAAAGAAATGAAACATTCAAAACCAATGGACGCTTATTCATGCAATAGGCTCATGTTTATAAATATGGAATCTCTTCTTCCTGTTAGAGGATGAGCAGGTTGCTTCTTCATTCATCCCCAAATGTTTTCAGGATTTCCAGATTTGTATAAAAGTGATTAACAACCATGTCTATTGACCTTCATCTGAGAAGCAATCATTAAGTGGGATGTATCAAAACAGAATATAGCTGTGTGATGACTCATAATACAAGAAAAAGCCACAGTAATTGGCAAAATATAGAAAAAAAAAGTCCCAAAGCATCCCAAACAGAATGATCCAGCTTTGTTCAGATCTGAGAAATAATTTTCCTTTCCTTTTCCCCCCTCAACTCTCCTGGCTCTTTCCAGCATTTTATCAGAGATGGTAAATATTTCTCCCCCTTTTCTTAGAATGTGGAACACATCATTGATTTCAATGTGGTAATAGGAGGCAAACTTGCTTCGTTAGTTCCAATGTTCTTTCTTGGGAAACACAAAAGATGGAGGAAGTGAATACTACTAAAATTCTCATATGTTGCACTTCTTTGCATACAAATAGATGAAGAATTCTAGAGAGCTGGACATGAGAAAAACACTGGTGGGGGGGGGGAGGAGGAAGAGGAGGAGGAGGAAGAGGACAGTGTGGCCTTGGCTCTCTCTCTTGAGCTTGGTGGTTTTCTTGCAGACATTTCATGACCCATCTAGGGAACATCATCAGTGCTAGAAGGGGGTGGGGTTTGTGGAAAGGAGGAAGAGGAGGAAGAGGAGGAGGAGAGTGTGATCTTGGCTCCCTCTCTCTGTGAGCTTGGTGGTTTTCTTGCAGACATTTCATGACCCAACTAAGGGACATCATCAGCCTGGAGAGGAGGAAGACGAGGAGGAGGAGGAGGAAAGTCATTGCTATTTACATTCAGTCTATAAGTTGTGACTTCTTTTAAAAAAAACTTTTCTTTTTAACTATTGGATCTTTCCCAAGGGTCTGGCGTAGTTAAAAATGTTTTCATAATATATGTGTTGTTCCAAGTAATACAGTTTTCATAACTGATGTATTCATATTATATCCATTCCTATTTTTTTCCACGTGGTTTTTGGTAAAGCACATCAACCACAATTATTAAAACCACAATGAAAATTGGAAATAACACCTTAAGACACAGAGGGCAAACATCATTTATAAAACCATGCCCAACTAGCTTTTTTATTTCCTGTCCATTCATCAGGCGTTCAAATTGCCAGTGCCAAGAAAAACAGCTTCCTCCCTCGCTAACAAGTTTTGAGTCGAAGCGCACAAGTTCCTTTGCCTTCCAGCTGCTCTTCAAAGAACTGAGCCCCAGAATTGATTTAAGGAAATGAAGAGGAACAAGACACAGGAAACTCAAATGGGGAGAGAGACCAAAGTGAAGTCATGGCCCTGAAGACAAATGAGCTTCTAGTAGAGCAGGCACTCAAGCTTGCAAGACTGAGTCCGAAATCTTTAATTAATTGCAACAATTGTCAATGTACGTAGGTGGATTAATTAATAGTGAACTATGTTGTTCTTTGAATCACACGTGAAGCTCCTTTAGATTGGGATTGCTAATTAGATCTTTTTTGTTCACTCTTGTTAATCAAATCAAATCATTTATAATGGATTGAATTATTATATTTTTCGTGCAAAAGGGTCTTTGATATCATAGGTTAGTATGATGTCAGTCATAAGGTGCAAGCACCTTATGGGTTGGGATTCTTCTGGTTCGGACCAGTTCAAGCCAACTGGTAGTTCCAGTGATCATTTGGACCCACCCTGCCCTTTTCCTGTGCTTTATTTCCTTGTTTTTAATCATAGCTGATTTGCTCAGCAGAGCGGTTTCCTGCGCATCAGCTGTTTTACGCACAGGTATTGCAGCCAGAGGTGGTATTCAACCGGTTCGCACCTACTTGGGCGAACCGGTAGCGGTTATTTGGCGTGGGTCGTTGACCCGGTGGCGACCCCGGCTGGCCATGCCCCCAACCCAGTCGCCCTATCGCTCACTTGCCATCGCTCTCCTAGCTTTCCATTCCCCACTTCCTCTTTCTCCCTGGGGGAAAGGAAGAAAGGCATGAACACTGCAAGTATCTCTTTCCCCGAGTGAGTTAAAGTGTCTGGAGTGAGAAGGAGTGCGGTCTGACAGAGGGGGTAGGGGTGAATCGAGCCTCAGAGCACTTTTGCAATGTAAAAGAAATGCATTTTGGAAGCACCAGGTCCTTTAAAAACTTCTCCAAGGATTCCCCATGGATGCTGCAAGTATCGCTTTCCCCTTGTGAGTTAAAGTGCTGGAGTGAGAAGGAGTGCGGTCTGACAGAGGGGGTGGGGGAATCCACTCAAGCCTTGGAGAAATTTAAAGGAGCTGCTTCCAAAATGCTTGTCTGTTAAAGTGCTCTGTGTGTGTGTGTG